CTATCTATCTATCTATCTATCTATCTATCTATCTATCTATCTATCTATCTATCTATCTATCTATCTATCTTATCTATCTATCTATCTTCTATCTATCTATCTATCTACTATCTATCTATCTATCTATCTATCTATCTATCTATCTATCTATCTATCTATCTATCTATCTATCTATCTATCTATCTATCTATCTAGCTATCTATCTATCTATCTATCTATCTATCTATCTATCTATCTATCTATCTATCTATCTATCTATCTATCTATCTATCTATCTATCTATCTATCTATCTATCTATCTATCTATCTATCTATCTATCTATCTATCTATCTATCTATCTATCTATCTATCTATCTATCTATCTATCTATCTATCTATCTATCTATCTATCTATCTATCTATCTATCTATCTATCTATCTATCTATCTATCTATCTATCTATCTATCTATCTATCTATCTATCTATCTATCTATCTATCTATCTATCTATCTATCTATCTATCTATCTATCTATCTATCTATCTATCTATCTATCTATCTATCTATCTATCTATCTATCTATCTATCTATCTATCTATCTATCTATCTATCTATCTTCTATCTATCTATCTATCTATCTATCTATCTATCTATCTATCTATCTATCTATCTATCTATCTATCTATCTATCTATCTATCTATCTATCTATCTATCTATCTATCTATCTATCTATCTATCTATCTATCTATCTATCTATCTATCTATCTATCTATCTATCTATCTATCTATCTATCTATCTATCTATCTATCTCTCTATCTATCTATAATCTATCTATCTATCTATCTATCTATCTATCTATCTATCTATCTTCTATCTATCTATCTATCATCTATCTATCTATCTATCTAATCTATCTATCTATCTATCTATCTATCTATCTATCTATCTATCTATCTATCTATCTATCTATCTATCTATCTATCTATCTATCTATCTATCTATCTATCTATCTATCTATCTATCTATCTTAGATTTTCATAAGATCAGCAATACATACTTTGAAGCCGATGTTGTATACTCGAAAAAAAATCAATATATCCTTTTTATTTGTTTAAAAGTATTAAAATTTTAACATTAATATCTCTCATTAACATACATTTTTTAAGATAAGTATACCAAATTACCATTAATGGCAACATTAAAATACACATTTTCTAATATTTAGAATATCTGTTTTTACAATATTTCTCTATAAAAAATATAAATTTGTTTTACTGTTTATTGCATTTTAATGTATTTAAATATTTTTTATGGTTTTTTATTAATGACAGTAATGAAACATAATACCATTCAGCTCCCACCTATTTGTTTTCATTATTATAATTTTCCATCAAGTATTACAGGGAAAGTCTTTATTGTAAGAAATAATTGCAGTGGAATTTATATAATTTTTACCTATCTACTCCTTACGGCAAAAGGGAATTTTTCTCATAAATTTAACCTTGAGTTTACTATGTATTAACATTTCTAACATAGTCTAGAGACAATGTACAAATGACTAGGAAACATATACAAATTGATACTTGTGTATGCGTGTGGCAAATGTTTTGCCTTCATTGTATGCCTTTCATGAGGACTCTACAGTAAAATAAGGAATATATATATATATATATATATATATATATATATATATATATATATATATATAAAATTGTAGAAAGAAATTGTTTTTGTTTTATATTAAGATACTTTTATCTATTTGCTGGTAACAAATTATTTCTTATTTTTTTCTACAATTGTTGTAGGATTTTATAAATTTCCTATTTAGCTTTTATTTCTATAATGTTTCATGTTAATTTAACATTTTCAACAGATAATAAATATATGTTTTTCTCTTTTTTTTGTAGAAATACTTAAATTACAAAACCACATGTGTGCTCGAGTGTTTGTGTGTTTGTATATGTTGGGGTAAGTGCGTGGTCCTACAGCACAATTCAAATAATATTCAAACCAGCGGAAAAAGGAAACTTCACTCGAAAGTATGCAATAGAATTTATGTTATATTTAAATACATATTTTTCATATAACATTTTCAAAATGTATCATTTGACTTTTTATATATGTACATATATATGTGTGTAAGTGTATTAGGGTGGTACAAAAATGACTAAAATACAATTTGGTTTGGTTTTGATGATTTTTAGGAATTTTTCAGTTTTTCTTTTGGTTTATAATTTAGAGTTGATGTTTGGAAAATATCTGGATATTTTATGTAATCATCCTAATATACATATCGCTCATTTACAACAAGACTGACATAACTCAAAATTCCGTTGCAATTTTCAAGATTTCATTAAATTTATCACATACAGGCAGACATAGTTGTGGTAAGCATGATCTAAGAGCAACATATTATGGTTAAATTTATGATTGTAGTCTACACATATTATGGTTTGTATAACTATTTTAATATATCATATTATGATTGAATATAGTTGCAATATTTTATTATAATATTTTCCTATTTATCATAACATTATCATACATGACCATATTATGATCCAAAATGATAATAATATGATCCAAATGCTCTATAACAATTTAATTTAAAAATATGTATCCAATACAAAATAAATTTTATGTGTAGGTTTAAATGGTTGTAAATAGCATTATATGTTTGCATTATTATCGTTCTTTAGTTGTTGGAACAATAATAATGTTTCGGTGAAACATATACAAACAATACAGTAAACATAGTATAGTAGTAGTAACCATGACGAACCATGTTTTTCTTTTGTGTCAAGGACGAAGCTACTCTTTCATAAATAGTTAAAGGAGTCATATGGTCGGCCTGGCTGTATTATCTTTCTTGTTTTTGAGTTATAACAGTCATGTAATAAATTAGTAGATTGTATATTTTAAAACAGTATGTTAAGTGACAGGATGTCGCAACATAGTGTCAGTAGTAAGTTTTTGACATGTATAGGGGAATGATATTTGCCAGATGTTCATGCCAGAAATATAATGTGAGCGAGCTTCTGTAGTTGTCGGATCATATCCATGACATACAGAAATGATAGTTTTGTGTTCTCTGAAGAGAAGCAATATACTTCCGTGGCTCAAAGAGATGCTACGTCGTGCACGGAGTCAGAACGTATGGACATTATATTTCAAAGAATTTACAGTCCTTTCAGCACTCGATGATAAATTACAGCTCAGATACCAGTTAGAAGCCTAATCGAGTTCCTACTAAGAGAAAAGAGAGACCTAGTCCTTCCTATTGTCAGAGTGGGCCAGAACTGTCTCGATATTCTACAAGTGGTGATATTTGATCATCTGAGTTCCGTCTCACTAAAAGCCCATTCATCGATCAATTTTGATAGGGTCGCCAGGGGAGTGTGAATATCCTTTTGCGCAAGGGTTAAGTATAGGGACGACCCTTTGGTTGCGCATTCATTAGATATTTCATTGCCCCTGATGCCCTCATGTCCTGGAACCCATATGAACTCAACGTGATGTTGTGTCAGTTGTGCCAACGATTGAATACAATTGAGAAGACATTTCGACTTAATAACATTGGAGTTAAGAACCTTGATTGATGCAAGGCTGTCCAGGTATATATGTATAGTCGAATTTTCAAGATTTAGTTCCCGGATTCTTCTCGCGGCAGTATAGATGCCATATATCTCTGCCTGAAGGATCGTGCAGGTGCCAGGTAGTCGAAGAGACAGTAGAAGATTTAGTTTTTCGGAGAAGATTCCCGATCCCTTGCCCCTTTCTCTCTTTGAGCCATTAGTATAAATTGAGATCACGTCGTCCCTAAGAACAGTGTTTGCGACCCAATCATCCCTTTTCGGTATTCTGGTCTTGAATGATCTATTAGAATTCAGTGTAGATAGAGTATAGTCTGTTTTCTGCCCCATGATTGGCCTGCCTATCTTTTGTAGGATGGTACCATGACCAATGCGATCGTGCTTCAGTCCGTTCAACTGTTTAAGTCGTAGAGCAGATTTAGTAGAAATGCATTTGATATATGTATCAAGGGGAGTTATATTAAGCATCGTCCCTAGACAAGCCTGAGGGGTGGAGCTCAAACAGCCAGTGATTGCAGGAAATGCTAATCTTTATACCTTGTTTAGAATAGAGAGGTAAGTCTTGGTATCCAACGCTCTCCATCAAACAAGAGCTCCGTGGGTCAAAATAGGTCTTATAACCGGGGTGTACATCCAGTGCACAATGTATGGTTTAAGACCAGTCGAATTTCATTCGACTCTCAGTATTACGTTTCCACGTGAGCTTAGAGTCTAAAATTACGCCAAGATATTTGCCTTTGCTTGAGGTATTCTGAATGGTACCATCCAAACACGGAGATCTGAGAACTTGAATTTTGTACCTACTGGTGAAAAGAACCAGTGGGAAGAAATTTCCCTTGAATAAGAAGCATAACGTTGTCAGCATATGCGACTACTTTGAAGCCCATCCTACTGAGTCTGAAAAGGATTTTATTTACGACAAGATTCCAGAGGAGTGGAGAGATGACACCACTTTGTGGCGTGCCCCTTGTCACAACTTTCCTTATCTTGCCAATACCCATATATGAGTTAATGGCTCTGCTCTTGAGCATATTTTCTGTCCAACTTTTTATCCGCTCATCAACACCTAGGTCACCCAGTGCATCGACTATTGCGGTTATGTTCACGTTAAAATCTTTAATATATACCAGCATTTAAATTATCTTAAGCATAAACATCCACTTTTATTTTAACAACTTCTTTAAAATCCATTCGACTAAACGACATACACATGTCGAGAGGGAAACATATAATATAAACCTCCCAAAATATTATTAATTTACTTAAAGGCAGTCATATGGAAAGAAGAAACCCCCTCAACTACTTAAAAACATATTTATAACATACAATATGAGTAAGAAATCACCCCATAAGTATGCTATTATTTATAAGCCTTAAACATATGCAACATATTTTTGGGTTAATACTTAATTCAACGAAACTTACCCATAACTTAAGGTACCATTCTTTAAATTATTCCCCACAAAATTAACTGGTTGCAAAGGCAACTGATTATGTTGTTGTTGCTGCTGTGGCAGCTGCTGCTGCTGTTGCTGTTGTAAGTGTGATGTATTTGTTAAATGTTGAGTATTAGAATTGACATTTGTTGGCGTTGATGATGTTGTGGTAATAATTGGATTTTTTTGAAAACTAACTGCTGTAGAATTATCAATCATATTTACTGGCTTTATTATGGCATTCATGCATTCTTCCCTTGGCACCAGGGACATGTTCATGGAGTCATCCATCTTATTTTTTTTTTTGTTTAATCCTACAGTATTTTTTTTGTTTTCTTGTTTGCTTGTTTTTTTAAGAACACAATTTAAGTTAAAATGTTTAATAGTATGTTTAAACTTATTATTGTTGTTGTTGTTAATTTACAACATTTTGTTGTTGTTGTTTTGTGAATAGAATCTCTAATGTTTCAACTGATTTCTTATTTTTGTTGTTTTTTCTGCTTCAACAGTGTTTGTTGTCTCTACTAACGATTTATTGTTATACTGATTAGTGTCTGATGATAAATTTAACTTTCTAAGTTTTTTTCTTTTATTCAGCTATTTATTCCTCTAGTTATCTGTCTGTCTTTCACTTTAATTCTATGTCAGCAATATTTATTTTCTATTCTATAACTATTTTTTCCATTATCAATCATGTTCTATTTTGTGTGCTTTTTTTTCTTCTATAGCAATATTAATTTGTTTATATGTATGTAGATATTTTCACTTTCTTTTGTTTAAATATTCCATATTTTTTTTCTACTTTACTTTTTATTTATCAACTTAATTTAGTTTTTCTTTTGTTTGTTTTTTTTATCGCATTCGTTTTATAGCCCAGCTGTTTTTATCCTTTGAGATTTTCATAATTGTGACGTTTATTTTGTTTGCTGTTGTAGTTTTAGTCGTCGTCGTTGTTGTATTGTATCTGCTCAAGTACTACTACTACTCAAGCTGTTGTTGTATGAGCATGAATTACTAGAAAGGATGTAGGGATGTGTGGTCTGGGTAACTGCAAAGATAAAATAAATGAAATACTACATTAGTACATTGAAATAAATGTTTATTTATTTTTAACATTTGCTGATTAAATAGAGATTTTTTTCTATTTTTATTATCTTATTGTCTGTACGAAATGTAAAAAATGATTGTGGTAAAAATGTAATGTAGTAAATTTAAAATAAAATATTTTAGAATGTTTTTAAAATAATTTTATATTTCTCTCTATTAATAAATTAAAACAACTGCTCAATTGAATACGATTTATATTTTATCCAGCATTTAAAATTTTAATTTTTGTTAATTTTTGCATGTTTTTAGATGTGATGTTCAGCATACGTTCGACCGAAACTTTTTATACCCACCATCAAAAAAGATGGGGGTATATTGTTTTTGTCATTCCGTTTGTAACACGTCGAAATATTGGTCATAGACCCACAAAAGTATATATATTCTGGGTCTTTACTAAATTCTAAGACGATCTAGCCATGTCCGTCCGTCCGTCTGTCTGTTGAAAACACGATAGAGTCCGAACGGAAATATCTAGAGGGTTGAAATTTTCTACAAATAGTCTATGTTTTGGCATAGCTGGTTTAAAAACAGCTGTATGTCAATTAAATTCCACATAAACAAGTTTTATATGAACCAAAATCTCCCTACCAAATTTTATGAGAATCGGTGCATAATTGACCCTACCCCCATATAAGGTCCCTCTCAGAAAAAGACTATAACGCTCTTAACTTGCCTACAAATGATAGCGATGCAACGAAATTCGACATAAACATGTTTTAAGTGAACCAAAGTCTCCCTACCAAATTTTATGAGAATCGGTCCATAATTGACCCCACCCCACATATAAGGTCCCTCTCAGAAAACGACTATAACGCTCATAACTTGCTTCAAAATAATAGCAATGCAACGAAATTCGACATAAACAAGTTAGGAGAACTAAAATCTTTCTGCCAAATTTTATGGAGTTCGGCCCATAATTGACCATATCCCCCATATAAGGTTCCCCTCGGAAAATTAGTTTAAAGCTCACAACTTTCTTAAAAATACCAGTAAATCACGAAAGTCAACATAAACAAGTTTTAGAGGAACTAAAATCTCTCTGCCAAATTTTATAAGGATCGGTTCATAAGTAACCCTACCCCCGATATAAGGCCCCATCATAAATTAACTATAACGCTCAAAATTTGCTACAAAATTATAGTAAAGCAACGAAATTCGACGTAAACAAGTTTTCGGAGAACAAATATCTGTCTGACAAATTTTATGGATATCGGCTCATAATTGACCCTACCCCCTATATAGGGTCCCCCTCATAAAATGGCTTTAACGCTCATAACAATAACTTGCTTCGACATTAAAGAATAATAACGAAATTCGACATACACAACTTCTTCAAAATGATAGAAAGCAATGAAATTCGACATAAATAAGTTTTATAGGAACTTAATTCTTTTTTGAGGTCTGTAATTGGCATTATCCCCTATCATAGAATGCCGTCCATAACTGGCTTAAAAATACCAGTATAGCGATAAAATTCGTCGTGAACTAGTTTTATGGGATCTAAAATCTTTTTGTCAAATTTTATGACCATCGAGCCATATTGGATTAAAGCCTTCATATAAGGCTTAGAAAGCATTTATATTCGACAACACAAGTTTTATTGAATGCAAAATCTTTGTAGATTTTTAGGAGGATCCAAAATTTACCATAAGTAAATTTACAGGAAATCAAAACATTAAAAAATTATTAAATATGATAAAATAAGTGCTACCATCACCCTAACTATATTACTATTTATATATGATAAATCAGTTTAGAAAAAATCCAATAAATGATTAAATTGTAGTCGCAAAAACACCGGTTGTTATAGTATAGGTCCACTTTCCGAAATTCACCTGAAATTTAAGACATATGATTTAATGGTGGGTATATAGCACTCTTACTTGTTTTAAAATACCATTTATATTTGTGATAAGTATTAAATAGAATTAAGAAATATATTTTGTCTATGAAAACACTGAATTTGATACAAAACTGACTATGTTTGCTGGACGTTTTAGTTATTTCCTTAATTATACTTTGTATGGAGTCTAGGATCAAATGAGACCCCATCATAGAAACTTACATATGCTGATTTTTGTATATATACATTATTATGAGCTTAAAAGCTCTAATCCTAAGTTCTGGGTGTCCAACCAAATTCAATTGGCTTAGTTCTTAGTACTTGTTCAAGTGTCATAGGTACATTATTTTGATAAATGCGATATCTACTTTGTTAGAAAATTTACATGAAAAGGCGGTCGGACCATCATGGTTATCTCTGAATCAATGTGGGTTACAAACATCAGTAACAATACATAATACCCTCCCCGCTATAGTAGGGACGTTGTATTTAAATCAAAAATATCCATGATATGTTTTTAATCATATCATTATTTATATGATTTCTATCGATTAAAAAATAAAACTTTAGACACAAGTTGAAAAGTGTTAAGGGGTAATTAGTCCCCATTGCAAGTAAGGAAAACTGCAAATTAACGCAATATTTTTTGAAGAGTTCGATAGATATCGAATCAATTATTTGCAAAATAAAACATTTCTAAATCATTGTGTTATATCCTTTCGTCAGTATGTCTGTCAATCTGTCCGACTTTTTGTCTGACAATCCGTGTATGTATGTCCTGCGTGTCATGTCGCTCAGTCTATTATTCCATCAATACGTTAGTTGTAGAGTCGAATAGATGCAAGGATTGTATATGCTTTCACTCCCTTGCTGCAGCACCGTTGTTTACGACATTGGCAACTGTGTTGACAGAACAAAACATAAGTATGTATGTGGAAACAGCACTTCCTATGGGCACCTTCCCAATTTCGAAAGAGATAAATAAACTGTATTTTTGTGAGTTAGTAATCAGCTCCTCTCTCCTGGGATTTGACAATTACATGTTAATTGTATTAAATACAAAGTCCTAGCTTAGCACTGTCCCAGAGAGGAGGGATACATTACAACGCTCTTTATAGGTCATTTGGCTTAGATGTAAATGAGAGATCGACTACTTTATCTTCTGTACTCTAGGAATTTTACTTGTCGGAATACTGGCATCAAGTATATAGCAGAGATCATGCCGGTGTCTTCTCTTTTCCTATTTCAGCTTCTAGCTTTTCTTTTGCATTGGTTGAAGAAACCATTTCATACGAGGTTGACTTGGGCGTGGTGCTCGCAGTTAGAGGATTCTGAGGATCAGTATACAGACGAAAGTACTGCCTTTCAATGCATATACATACATATACATATTTTATACTCGATGTATGTCTGTCTGACTACTTGTTTGTCTCTCCAACTGTCTGTCTGCCTGTCTGTCTAATTAAACATTGAAATGAAACAAATTTTGAGATGTCGTTCTTATATATCGGTCTATCCATTCGACCTTCTGATTGTGTTCTGACCATCTTACTGTCTGTCTATCCACATAAAACTTGTAATCAATATATTTCACAATATTAATAATAATAATAATAATTCAATGAAATTTTGTAGATAATCTTCAATTGAACATAAGAACATTTTTATACCCTACACCACTATAGTGTTGAGTATATTAGTGTTGAGTATATTGAGCTGGTGTTTGTTACACCCACCTTAAAGTATACTAATCGGTTCAGAATCACTTTCTGAGTGGATGGCCGTCTATCTGTCGGTCTGTGTGTCCATGTAAACCTTTTGAGCACCCTACTGGTCGCAATTTTCTAGATAATTTGTTGACTTGGCATATACTTTTCTCTTGGCCCAAGGATGAAGCCTATTGTAATCGGTCCATTATTTCCCCTAGCCTCCATACAACTCTCAGAATAGGGCTCTTGAGCTCATAATCATGTTAAATACTCTAGTATCTCTACAAAAACTGGCACAAACAACTAAGTTTTATATAAGCAAAAATGACACTAGGGCCTTTATTTGATCCTAGCCCCAATATAAATCCTGTTTTAAAAATGTCTTAAACGACCAAAATTTGCTTATAACCATTATTATCGCGGTGAAATTTAGCATAACTAACTTTTATATAAAAATACATTACTCCTTTAAATGTTATAGGGCTGGAGCCTAATTCCCATATAAAGCCCATTTTACAAAATTTATTTTTAATCCATAAATTGCTTAAATACACCGGAATTAAAATAAAATTCAACATTAAAGTTTCATTGTAATTTTTCATGGTGTAGGGTATTATATGGTAGGCCATGTACGACTATACTTTTCTACTTGTTTTAAAATTTTCGGTGGTGTATTAAAACTTAAAAACATCTTACAACAATATAAGTATGTTTGATGTTGTAAATTTGTAACAGTTTCCGTTTCTGCTAAAAACTTATTCACAAAAGAAAGTTGAAAAAAAAAACTTATTTTTTTTGCGCTATTCTTTGATAAGATTTGTTTAAAACAAATTTGCATTTATTGATTATGTATATTCATAATCATAATCTGTGTTTATTTTTTTTTTTTTTTTTGCTTTCATACTTTGGCGGAACTATTGAATGAAGCACGTACATTTTTTTTCTTTTGTAGTTTGATGAATAATCGAAGCATGAAGCTATACTATATACTACTTGCTATTTTTCTATATTAATACATTCAAATTATTTAAATAGCCTCTACGAGTATGTTAAAGACAGCATTAAGTTTTTGCCACCCTTTGCATAAACTTTAGTTATGAAATTTATAATTTTACTTGCCATAGTAGTGGCTGCCACAGCAAACTTATTACAATATACTGGTTATAATTATGATAGTTATAATGTACCAGGAATTAATTATCCCTCCTACAACAAACCGCTTGTGTATCATCATCATAATAACTATGTTGTTAAACCACAGAGTCCACCACAATATCCCAATAGCAATGTAGCGGTATGTGCAACATATAATGGTATTTGGAAAACATTTGCAAATATATATCAATTTAAGGATGAAGTAAATCAAGGACTGGGTAAGTTTTTTTTTTA